ACCGTGAGCCAAAGAAGGTGGGCATCTTTCAGAGCCAGAAAAAAGACAAGGAAATGGATGCTCCCCTGGAGCCTCTGGGAGGAACAGAAGCCTGGAAACCCCTTGCTTTTAGTTCACTGAAACCCATTTTGGACTTCTGATCTCCAGAACAATGAGATAAATTTTTGTTTTCTACACCACCACGCTTGTGCAAGGTGGTTTGCTACAGCAGCGATAGGAAACGAATACACAGAGTTACTCAGTCATGTACTCATTCGACAACTGTTTAGCCGCTGCCCCACGCCAAGCAAACCACGGCAGGCTGCTCTCTTTTCCTGTCTGTGTTGGCTGGGAAGTTAAAAAGGCACTGTCACAGGATTTTATCACTAGTGGACACTTCCAAATAAATACGTGGTTTTATTTTAGAATCAAGATGGAGGAAGAATAAAAAAAAAGTCCAAGGGAAGAGAAAAATGCGCCATTCACCAAAGACTGAGCCTAAAAAGCAGCGGACAGCCAACCTGAGCGGAAAGGGGGCCCGTCCGCTGGGCCCAGACTGTCATCATCGGGCGGCTTGTTTGGGCCCAGTGTGTCAGCTCTTCCGACGTTGTCTTAATTAGAAGCTGAAATCTGGGTTTTATCCCAAATTTCCTGATTTTAAATGTTGACAATTCATTTTTTAAATAAATTTAAATGCTAAGCAGGCCAAACAAAACACACCTGCAGGTCGGACTTGGCCCATGGCGCCGTTCTGCAATCTCCGGCTCACAGAGCGGCCAGCACCACTGGGAAGCGTGTCTGCAGGTGTTTTGGGCCATCCTCCTGCCCTCCATTTCCCCTCAGGAGCTCCCAGGACTTCAGCGGCCCAACTTCTGGGAGCCATTCCCAGCCCCATTTAGCTGGTGGGGGAGTGCAGCCCCAGGAGAACAGGGCTTGGAGCTTAACAGCTGGCCCGGCATCGCCCTCCTTCAACAGACCTTTGTATATCCTACGGGGGAGGAACCAGCACTGTCTTCCTTGTCAGGGCCCAGCACGCAGGAGGTGCTCAGTGAATGCGTGCCGGACAATGTGGTTATCTCGGGAGCTTCTACTCCTAGGGGGGTCAGAAGGAGAGGACTTGTGTGAAGGCCTAGTAGGCACGCCTCAAGGACTTGAGGGAGAGTTAATGTTACTTTTCGATTCTTACAACCCCTGCGTAAGAAATGAGTACCGTTGTCTCCATTTTATAGGTGAGGTAACTGAGGCCCAGAGACATGAAATAATTTCCTAAGAACACATACACAAAAATGGGTTTTATTCCTGGAAAGATGGATGCCAAGACTCCCCTAAGTCCCGAGTCAGAACACCATGGTGCACAGGCCAACCCCAGCCTGTGTTTGTGAATAAACTTGTCTTCGTCGATTCTGGCTGCTCGGACACAGATATCACAGGCTGGGGGACCTCAACCACAGAAACCCACCTCTCACGGTTCTGGAGGCTGGAAGTTCGAGAGCAGCGAGCTGACGTGGCTGGGTTCTGGGGAGGACTATTCCTGGTTTGCACGCAGCCTTCTTCTCGCTTGTCCTCCATGGAGGACAAGCAAGAAGATGGAGAAAGAGGGAGCTAGGTCTCTCCCTCTGCTTATAATGGCACTGATCCCACCAAGGGGTTCCATCGTCATGACCTCATCACCTCCAAAGGCTAGGCAGGCTTCAGCATATGAACCAGAGAGGGACACATTCAGTCCATAGCCAGTTTTATGGGAACACTGCCCCACCTACTCGGTTATGGATTTTCTGTGATGTGTTTATGCTACCAGGGTAGAGAGCAGCAGTTGCAACACAGCCTGCAAGGCCTGAGAAAGCTAAAATAGTCACTGTCTGTGTCTTCACAGAAAACATTGCAGACTCTGCTCTGGGTCGGGCATACGGTGGATTCTCAACAGCACCGAGGCGACAACTGCTCATTAAGCACTGACCGTGCACCAGGCCCTGTGGAGCTCTGCTGGTGAGAGTAAGAAGTCAGGATGTAGCTCCAAGTGTCGCAGGACACAGGAAAGGTACGAGTCTGGGGGTAGCCAGGCAAACGAAAGGGAAAGGTGGTGGGCATGGCTAGAGCAAAGGCCTGGAGGGCAGAACTCTCAACCACTACTAAGGAGGCTCCCTAGATGACACTCACGTTTCCACGCTCACAGGTTAGCTTAGGATGTGTCCTTCCACCAAGAGCCTGCCACAGAGTGCACCTCCAGGTGTGTGCCACTCTCCACCTGAGTGGTGCAGCTGCGTACTGTGAGCCACCTGCCTGTCAGGCACCTGCAGCACAAACTGGAGAAGGCCCACACCCAAGATGTTAATCAGATCATGCCGCTCCCAACCTAGAACATTCCACTGGCTCTCTCTCTACTGCAGCTAGAGGTCAGCCTGCGCTCCCTGGCTGTCAGAAACTGGCCCAGCCTACTTCAAAACAGAAACCTTCTGCCCATCAGCAGTCACTTCCTAATGCCTTCTTCCCACAGCCCCTGGAAATTATAAATCTGTCTCTATAGATTTGCCTATTCTAGACATTTCGTATAAATGGACTCATACAATATGTGGCCTTTGTGTCTGCCTCCTTTCACTTAGCATGATGTTTTCAAGGTTCACTCATGCTGTAGCAGGTAGCAGAACTTCATTCCTTTTCATTGCTGAACAATATTCTGTCATATGGATAAATTGCATGTTATTTACCCACTCACCTCGTGAACATTTGGGTGGTTTCTACTCCGGCTGTCATGAATGATGCTGCCGTGAACACAAGTTTCGGGTGGACGCGGTCTCAGTTCTCTTGAGCACCGGACTTGTTGGGTCACCGGGGAAGTCTGTTTAACATTTCAAAGGGTCACCAAACTGGTCTTTCAAAGCCACACCATTTTATGATCCCATTGATATTTGAGATTTCTAATTTCTCACATCCTCATCAACACTTGTGACGTAGTTCTAAATCTCAGCCATGCTAGTGGGTTTGAAGTAGTTTCTCACTGTGGTTTGGATTTCATTATACTGAGCATCTTTTCATGTGCTTATTAGCCATTTGTATAACCTTTTTTGGGCAAATGTCTATTCAAATCCTTTGTCTTTTTCTTGTTTAATTGTACGAGTTCTTTGTATATTCTGGATACACATCCCTTATCAGACATATGATTCGCAGATGTTTTCTCCCGTTCTGTGAGTTGCTTCCTCACCTTCTTCCTCCCTTTCTCGGTGTTGTCCTTTGAAACACAAACGTTTTTCATTTTGATGAGTGTCTCCTTTTATTGTCATTACTTACTTATACTTTCTGTGTCCTATCTCAGAAACCCTTGCCTAATCCATGGCCATTATAATTTATTCTTGTTTTCTTGAGAGTTTTATTGTTAATTTTAGGTCTATTTTGAGTAAGTTTTATAAACGGCATGCAGGATCCATTCTTCTGTGTAAGGACTCCAGTTGTCCTAGCACCTTTTGTTGAAAAGACTACTCTTTCCCCTCTTCACGGCTGCAGGCCCCTTGCTGGCGGACCCCTAATTCCTCTCCATTGGTCCAAACGTCCACCCTAGGCTACTACGCTACCATGTTGTCTTAAATGCTGTTGCTTCGTAGTAAGTTTTGAAATTGGGAAAAGTGAGTCCTCCAATTTTGTTCTTTTTCAAGACCATTTTGTCTGTTCTGGGTCCCTTCCAGGTCCATGTGGATTTTAGGGTCAGCATGTCAATTTCAGAAAGAAAGACAGCTCAGCTTCTGAGAGGGCTGGAGAGGGACTGCGGATCCGTAGCTCAGTTTGGGAAGTGCTGCTGTCGTAACATTCCAGGTCCCGGTCCAAGAACACGGGATGTCTTCCTGTTTATTTAGGTTTTAATTTCTGTCAACAATGTCTCATCGTTTTTAGAGTATTAGTTTTACATTCCTTTGCTGAATTTATTCTTTTTGGTACTCTTGTAAATGAAATTATTTTCTTAATTCCATTTTCAGGTTTATCATTGCTAGTGTAAAGAAATACAGCTTGTTTTTGTATATTAATCTTGCATCCTGCAACTTTGAAGAACTTGTTTATTAGCTCTAATAGATTTTTTTGTGTGTATTCATTAGGATCTTCTATATACAAGATCCTGTCATCTGTAAAGAAAGATCATTTTACTTCTACCTTTCCAATCTGGATGCCTCTTACTTCTTTTTCTTGTTGAATTGCCTAGCTAGACCCCCAGTACGATGTTGAACAGAGGTGGAGAGAGCAGATATCCTATCTTGTTCCTGATGCCGGGGGAGAAGCACTCAGCCTCTCACCAGTACCTATGACATCACTTGTAGGTTTTCACAGACGGCCTTGGTCAGGGTGAGGAAGTGCCCCTCTGTTGCTAGTCTGGTGGGTTATTTTTACTGCGGAAGGGTATGGGACTTTGCCAAATGCTTTTTCTGCTTCTACTGAGATGTTATATGGGTTTTATCCTGAATTCTATGAATGTAGTACATTATACCTTGGTTTATTTTCAAATGTTAAACCAACCTTGCATTGCTGAGGAAACCTCATTTGGTCATGTTGTGTAACCCTTTTTATATATTGCTGAGTTCAGTTTGGTAGTATTCTCTTGAGGATTCTGCCCCTATATTCTTAAGATACTGTGGTCTTTAGTTTTTCTTTTCTCATGATGTCTGTCTGATTTGGGCATCAGGATAATACTGACATTGTAGAAGGAACTGGGAAGTGTTTCCTCCCTTTGACGGATCTTTTATTAAATGATTCTATAGGAAACCAATTCTTGCACAACCCAGTCCAGCCGAAGGGTTAAGAGCCTGAGGTTTGCAATGAGGCAGGGCTGGAGTGTCAATCCCAATTCTGCCACATAGTAGCTGTGAGACCTGGGACAAGTCTAGTAGCTGTGAGACCTTGGACAAGTCCATTTATGCAATTTATCTTCCGTACTGTGGGGATGGATAATGCTTCCCTCCCAGGGATTAAATGAGATAATGCAAACAAAGCATCTGCACAGGGTCTGGCAATAGTCAGTGGCTCATCACTGCTCACTCTGCCCCTCCCTCTTCTACTCACTGCCAACTTCTTACAGATACAGATAATCTGTGAGTGCTGGTTTCTTCCCCTGGAACCAGCAGGTGCCTTCCACACTTCAGAAGCCTTGTAGAAATGCTGCCACAGTCTCCAATCTCTTCGCAAAAATCCTTGGAGCTGGAAATAAGAATTTTTCACAATTTAGAATAGCAATATGATGTGTATACTGCAATTATATTAAGAACTCCTGTGAATCAATAAAAGAGTATTCTGATTTCTTCAAAGGCCAAGAAATATGAAAAAGCAGTTTACAGAAAGGGTAATGCAGTGGTAAAATAAATACAGAGAAAGATGTTGCTCAGCCTTATTAAATAATCATAGAAGTGCAAATTCAACAACAAGGTGCCATTTCCACCCATCTCAGCAATAGTTTTCAAATGATGAAATTCAAGTATTGCTGAGAGTATGGAAATGCCTCCTCTTGGACACGGCTGGAAGCTGGGTCATCGGTGTATTATATGTGGATGGGCACATTGGCAAACAGCCAGCAAATACAAATGCACCAGTTCTGTAACCCAGAAATTTCTCACGGAGGCATCAGCCCCAGAGACCCTGTCATACCTGTGCCCAGGAAGGCAAACCAAGGATGTTCCAGCAGGAGCTATTAGAAACCACTGAGTGAAGTGGCCAAATAAAATGCAGTATAGCCACGTATGAAACGGTACAAGCATTTGAAAGGATAAAGTCGATCTTCATAAACAAGAAAAGTTCTCCAAGATCCATTGCTGAAGGATGCAAGCAGGACTCGCCAAGCAAAGCTGAGTGCTTGGGATGCACAACAGAGCAAAGGGACAGAAGAAGGTCTCCTCTCCAGGGCTCCAAAGCCTAACTGCGCTTCCCTCCAGGCCACTGAGGGCGGGACCAGGATCAGGGGTGGTGACACCAAAAGGGAACTTTTGCCTTATTTTAAATGTTATGTTTTTTTCACAAGGAGAATTTATCCCATTAGTGCGGGTATCATTTTAAATCAATTTAATGCTTAGGAATGAAGTTAACCAAGGAGGCAAACGACCTGCACACTGAAATGTACAGAACATTGCTAGAAGAAATGAAAGACACAATAAACAGAAACATTCTGTGCTCAAGGATGAGGAGACCTAATATCACTAAGATGTCAGCATGACCCAAAGCAATCTACAGCTTCAATGTAAGCCCTATCAAAATCCCAAAACTCACAGGGAACCTCAAGGGGCCCCCAACAGCTAGAACAATCTTGAAAAAGAGTAACAGAGTTGGAGGCCTCCCAAAGCTCCAATGAACAAAACAGTTTGGTAGTGGCAGACAAGTAGACCTGTGGAATAGACTAGAAAACCCAGAAATAAACTCCCACATTTGTGGTCAAATGATTTTCAACAGAGGTGCCAAGCCTACTCAATGGGGGAAAGGTAGACTTTTTAACAAACGGTGCTAGTGCACACAAGTGAATGAAGCTGGACCTGTATTGTACGCCACATACAACGTTGAACTCAAAATAGACCAAAGAGCTGAACACGAGAGCTAAAACTTTCATAAAACTCTTAGAAGAAAACATGGGTTGAAAAGCTTCATGGCACTAGATTTGGCAATGATTCCTTGAATATGAAATATGATGCCTGCGAACAGGCAACAATTGGACCACATCAAAATCAATAGACTTCTGTGCACCAAAGACCGCTATTCTTGGAGTGAAAAGGCAACCCACAAAACTGGGAGAAAATACTTGCAAATCACCTGTCTGACAAAGTGGTAACATCCAAAATATATGAAGAACTCCTACAATTCAACGAACAATGAAAAACCTAGCAAACTGACTCAAAATGGGCAAAGAACTTAAACAGACATTTCTCTAAAGAAGATACACAAATGGCCCCTTCGTGCCTATTAGGATGGCTTCCATTAAAAAACAAAAATGCCTGGGAAAATAGCACGTGCCGGCAAGGATGTGAGAAATTGGAACTCTGGGCCCTGATAGTGGGACAGTAAAACGGTGCGGCCACTGTGGACCACAGCCTGGCGGCCCCTCAGCAGCTAGAAATACAACTGCTGTGCGACCCAGCAGCTCCACTGCGACTCATGTGCTCCCAAAGGCTGAAAGCAGGGACTCAGACAGACACTTGTACGTCCGTGTTCACAGGAGCATTATTCACAAGGGCCAAAAGTGGAAACCTAGTGTCTGTCGAATGAAATGAAAAGCGAAACATGGTCTATCCACACAATGGAACATCATTCGGCCTTAGGGGAGGGAATTCCGACCTGTGCTACAACATGGGTGAGCCTTGGGGACACTCTGCCAAGGAAAATACAGAACTTCTCCCCACAGATTTCACCTTACAGGGGGCACCTGGAGGAGTCAAACACACAGAGACAGAAAGCGGAACGGTGGTTCCCGGGGGTGGGGGCGAAGGGGAGGTGGGATTACCGCTTAACGAGGAGCTTCCGTTTTACGAGGTGAAAATGTTCCGCAGGTGGACGGTGGCCACAGCTGTTCAAGAAACGAACACACTTAATGTCACTGAACTGCACACCTAAAAATGGCAGATGTGGTCAACTTCTCTCATATATATTTTGCCACAATTTAATTTTTTTTTAAACACTTAAAAAATAAACACACGGAGTTAAGGGTGTGTCTTGCAAGAGCACATTACCTGCTCAGGGCTCCCGCATGCAGCCATTCCTGACTCACCAGAAAGGCTAGCCCTTCCACCCTGCGTTTCCCCAGCCCCCGTGCAGGCAACACAGCAAATGTCCCTGAAGGTGAGCCCCCTTGAAAATCTCCCCGTAGTCCTTGGCACCCCAGCACACATTTAACTCCTCGGGGACTTGGGGGCCGGAGATGTGGAAGGTAGGGTCACTACGCCTGAGTTTTAGCTGCCTGCATACTGGCAGCCACCTGCAAGCTAAACTCTGTGAGTCTGTGGGGCCCGGCTCACCCCCAGGAAGTAATGACTCAGGACTGGGCCCCACACATTCTGGAAGGTCTGGCTGATACGGACAGACCTCTTACTGCTGCTCTGCTCCCAGTGCTTCCGGGAGCTCGCCTCCAGCTGCAAGTGCAGGTGGCCCGAGCTCTCCTCATGCAAGAGCTGGTCCTGGGAACATACCCCACCAGGGAGACCCAGCCCTGAGCCTCCTCACTGCCACCCGCCCTGGGAGGCAGGCTTCCTTTTCGGGGGAGGCAGTTCTGTAGGAGGCATGTTTTTTTGTTTGTTTGTTTGTTTGTTTTTAATGATTTTGACTTTGTAAAATACTGTGTCAGAATACAATTCACCTTCATGACTGCATTTCTGGCACCCCAGAGCCTGGGGTAAGAGCCTCACAGACTAACCCAAGAACATGCCCTGATAAGAAGTTGAAAAACCCATGGGAAGATGATTCCTGATCTGCTTCATATAAACCCCAGGGTCCCTGGCATCCACTCTCTGGTGGCAGACTCTGGCTCCCTGAACAGAACCTCCCTGGGTCAGGGTTTCACACCTGTGGGTTCCTCCTGCTGCCTTCCACCTCTGAACCCCAGACTGCAGTACACAGGCTCCTTCATTCATTCATTCACTGAACACATTTTTTTTTTGAGTACCAAAAATGTACTAGATACAGCACTGGCCACCAGACACCCAGGAATAAAGGAACCAGAAGTCCCCTCTCTCTTAGTGGAGCCACAAACTTGAAACAAGTAAACAAACAAAGGAACAGCAATTCTCCCTTTGCTTAACCTTCAAGCCACATCGATCCATTCTCCCCCCGCCCCCCCGCAACCCACCCCAGAACTTTTGCACTTGCTGTTCGCCCTGCATGGAGCACACTTTTATGGGAACAAAACTGTTTCATGTCTTAATTTTCAGCTTAAAATTTATTCCTCCCTAAGAAACCTTCCCCCTCGCCCATCCAACTAGACTCCCCTCTATTAGACTCCATCAGCCTCGGCCCTGTTTACCACCCTGTCGGTTAAGCCCCTCTTCGTTTCATCTGTCTCTCGCTCTCTGCTCTCATGCAGCGCCACGCTCCCATCAGAGACCAGGTGCTGCCTCGTGCACAGTTCTCCTCCCAGCACTGGGCTAACACAGGTGTTTTATAAAGGCCAACTGAATGAATGGGTGGAAGACTGAGGCTGAAGTTCCAATTCCAGATCTGTCCCCTTAGGTGATCTTGCACAAATCTCTCTCTTTGAGGATGGGTCCAGGGTGCTCACACTACCCTTTCCTGACCCTGAGGCTCCCTCCAGCACCCCCCATCCCCATCCCCCACTCAGCCTGGGCACAAAGCCTGTGGCTGAATGCTGGGATCCATGTAAAGCGGAGCTCATGGCCCCACTTCAGCTCGCAGGCAGCCTGAGACGCTTTCCACCCACACAGTCTGGCTGGTGCCGTAGGCCTGCACCAGTCGCTTGGTCTGACCTCTGCAGGGAAACCTAAAGATGCCTGAGCCAGGTGTCCCTCTGCCAGGCAGCCCTCTGGCCTGGTTCTAAGGAGAGGAGCTCCCAGCCCAGCCTACGCTGACTAATGTCATTCAATGGGACTTGTCACAGGGGAGGATTGAAGAGACAGGTTTACATTCCCCCAGTGTGCATATGCACACATACTGTTTGTTCTAGTTGTTGTTGTTGTTGGTGGTGGTGGTGGTGGTGTGGTGGTGGTGTTGGTGTTAGGATGGTGGTGGTAGTGGTGGGTTGGTGGTATTGGTGGTGGTGGTGGTGGTGGTGGTGGTGGTGGTGGTATTGGTGGTGTTAAACAGGCAAATGCTCAGTTCCACTCAGAGCCAACAGAATGACTAACCAGCTAAGATGCAGCATGGTGAGACCAAAGCATCCAAGGTGACAGTGGCAGCTTAGCCCTTGGAACCATGGGCCCAGGGGATGCTGTGGCTCTGCCACCTCCCCCTTGCCCTGGCCCTTGCCCAGCATGTGGCACCGCTCACAGGGAGCTGTACTTGGTGCCCGGGAGGCATAGTCCAGAAGTGGCCCTGCTACTGCTGCTGGCCCAGGGCACGCAGCCCCATCAGCCCTGGCGCGAAGAGCTCACTGCCCAGGGCCACCTGTCCTTCACCTTCTCTAGCAGCAGTGAGGACAGCAGGTGGTGGGGCCTGGTGTGGCCCTGGCCCGCCTCCCAGGGACTGACACCCCAACCCCACCCCAGCACTGGGCAAGGAAAGGAAGTGGGAACCGCCCAGGAGGTCTGGCGGTAGGGGACCCTTGAGAGAACCAAGACCCGGTCTGCCTGCTGAGGAATGCAGACAGCGGGGCCGCTGACAGCGCTGTTTGCACGGTTGGCGAAAACCCCAAAAGTTACTTCTGTCAGTCCAGACCACAAGTTTTAAATAAAGTAGAACAACAAAAAAAGCATGGAACAGAAGAGAAATGACTGCATCGCTTGCCATCTGGTAAACTTCACTTTCTGAAGCTTGTTTCTGCTGTGCTAACGTTCAGCCTGATCACACGGCAGGGCCATGCCAGCTGAGGACCCCCAAGTGCCCACCCCCCAGCCAATAGCCCCTGGCCCTCACCTCATTCTCTTGGAAGCTCCCAGAACATCCCACAGGGGGCACAACCATGGGGGCTCTAGCCCAGCCCCGGCACCAGGGCAGGCATCTACCAGACCAGTCAGTTCCGGGCCAGGCTGCACTTTTAAGATTTAACAGTGCCCCATGCAATTTGGGTAAAAATGTAAAATGCAAACTGCGTTTTTTAACACATTGTATAATGTGGGTCAGAATCAAAACCACCCAAAAACTGCCTTTTTAAGGTTCATGGGGGCAGACAGTACATTAGAGGGGACACTGAGGGAATCAAATGGAAGCTGAGCAGATATGAGCCTGGGTCATCACCAGATATTTCCCCTCGGTGGGTTGTGAATATGGGGGGGGGGGTGAAGTGATGGGGACTACAGGTGGGGTCCTCAGCCTCCCCCTCCCATAGCCTGGCCACTGAGGAGAGGGTGTGACAGGAAGAGGTCCTCCTCCTACCTGACAGGTGGGCAGGTCGCTCAGCAGGTGGCTCAGTGTCCCCGACAAGGCCACCTTGCTGCTGCCTGCTGGGTGAGGGCCCCAGCAAGGACCACAGAGCCCCTGCCATCACCAGGTCCACCTCCAGCTGGGCCTCAAACCACTGTGCATCCCCACCTGCTGCTGGCCACAGGTTGCCCTAGCCCTGGAAGGGTCCCAGAATCTCCTGGGGGTTGGGCTCAGCCAGCAGGCCCGGCCCCAACCATAAGGACTGAGAGCAGACAGAGGACACAAAATGGCCTTCTAGGCTGACCCTCCTCTAATTTCTTAAACTTGATATTTTTCAAAATCAGTAATCCATGTTACTAACTCGGAAGGGCTCTTCCTCTCTCCCCTTCATCCACTCCATCAGGGACTCTGGTCAGCTGTCCCTGCAGAATACTGGGTCTGACCGTGTCTGCCTCCTCCACCACTGCCCTGGCTCCAGCCCCGGTCATCAAGCCCGAGTCGCTGTGACATCCTCCTCCGGGCTCTGCTGGCTCCTGCCCTGGCCCCTGACATCTGTTCTCTGCCTGGTGACCAGAGCGACCCCTTCGAGACAAGCAGAACCACGCACACTCGTCTCTTTCAGGGTGAAAGCCAGCAGTACCCGGACTTTGTCCGGAGGTCAGCGGTGCAGGCCTGGCCAGGCGAAAGCAGAGCTGCCTGTGGGAGGACACTGGTGAGGGGACACAGGCAGGACCCAAAACGTGCTCAGGGTTTTCTGGAGAGCCCAGGAGCGGTTGTGACTGTCATCTTTGATGGCCCCCACAGACTGCAGACCGATCCCTCAGGCACCTCTGCCGGCCGCCAGCAAATCCATTTACCCAAAAGTTGTAAAAACAACCTTTCTGTTCTCAGACTGTCTGCTCTTCATGCTCTCTCATAAATCCTATTTTTGTCTTTGTTCTTCGACAACAGTCACAAATCACTGTCTTCTGATTACTCTCTGGCAGAGCCACCTCCCTCCTGCTCCACTCCAACCCCACAGGCCTCCATGCTGTGCTTCTAACACTCCAGGCACGGACATCCCTCGGGACTTTTCTTTGTTTTTTAAATTATATTGTATTGATTATGCTGTTACAGTTGTCCTAATTTTCCCCCTTTGCTCCCCCTCCACCCAGCACCCCCCACTCCCTCAGGCAATCCCCCCCATCATTGTTCGTCTCCATGGGTCATGTGTGTAAGTTGTTTGGCTACTCCATTTCCTATTAGCGTGCTTTACATCCCCATGGCTACTCTGTGACTGCCTAGTTGTGCTTCTTACTCCCTCACCTCCTCACCCATTCTCTTCCTCCCTCTACCCATCTAGCAACCCTCAAAATGCTCTGTACCCATGATTCTGTGTCTGTTCTTATTTGCTTAGTTTGTTTTTAGATTCAATTGTTGATAGAGTTGTATGTTTTGCCATTTTATTGTTCATAGTTTTGATCTTTTTCTTTAAGTCCCTTTAACATCTCATATTCCTTTCATTTTTGGGGGGGTCTGAGATGATCTTTATCTGACCTTTGATTCTAAATGATGTGTTTGCTGGGTATCTTTCTCTTTATTTTTTAAATTAATTTATTTTTAGAGAGGGAAGGGAAGGAGAAAGAGAGAGAGAAACATCAATGTGCAGTTGCTGGGGGCTGTGGCCTGCAACCCAGGCATGTGCCCTGACTGGGAATCAAACCTGCGATGCTTTGGTTTGCAGCCCACGCTCAATCCACTGAGCTACGCCAGCCAGGGTGGTATCTTTATTTCAATTAGTGTATCCTTTATTTCTGACTGGATCTTTTTTATGTTGTTGAGGTCCTCACTAAGTTCCTTGAGCATCCTTATAACTAGTGTTTTGAATTCTGCATCTGACAGATTGCTTATCTTCATTTCATTTAGCTCCTTTTCTCGAGTTTTGATCTGTTCATTTGGGCCATGTTTCTTTGTCTCCTCATTTTGGCAGCTTCCCTGTGTTTGTTTCTGTGTATTAGGTAAAGCTGCTTTGGCTCCATGTCTTGGTAGCGTGGCCTAATGTAGTAGGTGTCCTGTAGGGTCCAGTCTCAGAGCTTCCCCTATCACCCAAGCTGAGTACTTGAGGTGCACCCTTGGTGTTGGCTGAGTACACCTTCCTCTTGTAGCTGAGACTTGGTTGCTGTTGGCAGATTAAAGGGAGGGATTTACCCAGGCCAGTCAGCTGCAAGGATTGGCTCTGACCACTTACCACTAACCTCCGCCCTCTGTGGAGGATCAGCTGTGCTGGGGCAGGGTGGTGGTGCTCTGATATTGTAGCTGCCCATTGAGTGTGTTGGCCCTGGGGTTTCCTGGGTGGTGAAGGCCAAGGTCAACTCCCACCTATGTTTTTGCTCAGGGCCACCCTGCCTGAGCTCTAAAGCAATCTGAGATGGCTGCTACTTGTGCTGGGCTTAGAGATTCCTAGGCAAAGCCAAGCTGTGAATCTAGGCTGGATGCTGCTAATGCCAGACCTGGGGCTGAGGCCAGGTCTTGCTTGTTTGAGAGGATTTAGGAAGTTGTGAAGCAGAGTGGAGACCAGCCATTCTTATGAAAAGCAGCTTCGCAGGGCCTGTGAGGTGGGTGGGGCAGAGTCTCTGGGGATCTCCAAGGTGTGTCAAACAGTGTTAGCCAGGTTGGTGGAGTCTCAGATTTGGCTCTAGCTTGCTGTCTCTGTAGGGGTAGAGATTAGAAAAGGGACAACGGCCTCTGCTAGCCTTGATGCCAGATACTTTAGTTTCTCCCTGTTTACCACTGGTGCCTTTCAAGCTGCTACCCTGGTGCTGGAGCTCAGAGGGAGTGAGTCTGAGTAGGTAAGTCCATGTGTGGGTTGTGGGTTCTTTAAGAGGAACTTCTTGGGGCTCCAGAAGTTTTTTCCACTGACTCAATCCCTGCTGGTTTTTACAGCCATAAATTGTGGGGTCTTATCTTCCTGGCACTGGAACCCTGGAGTGGGGCTGGGACTCCTCACTCCTGATATATCCCTCCTGAATTTTTATCAACCACAAGTGGGTAAGGGACCAGTCTGTTCTGCTTCTGCATCCCTACTACCAGTCTGGATGGATGTGGTTTCTTTAATCCCATAGTTATCAGACTTCCATTCAACTCTATTTCTGACAATTCTGAGCGATGGTTGTTCTATATTTAGTTGCAATTCTGATGTGGCTGTGAGAAGAGCTGAGCCATGTCTGCCTACGCCACCATCTTGACTGGAAGTCCCATCTCAGGGCATTTCACAGGCTGTGCCCTTTACCTGGAATACCCTTCCCCCAGAGAACCACGCGGCTCTCTTCCACTTCATGCCTTTGCTAAAAGTTATCTTCTCCCTTGGGCTTACCTGTCCGCCCACTTAAAACCAAAGCCAGCCCCCTGGCCCTCCCTGCCACATAACTGCAGACCCCATCCCCAGCTCAATAATTCCTTTTCCTATATACCCACCTATCACCATACAACTTGCTTCTTTTATTATCTCTCCCATGAAAATATAAGCTCCAAGAGGAGAGAATTTTATGTGTCTCTTTCATCTCTTCCCATTATCTGGCACATTGTAGGAGCTTAATAAATAGTTGTTGAGTAAATGAATAAAGATATAGGTTCCCCTCCTTGGTCCCCCAGTCCCTTTTAAGCACAACCACTGTGCCCATATTCTTGTGCATCTCCAGGAGATAACATGGACCTAGATGAGTCTGTTTGCATGTGTGTGTGTTCATGTGGGTGCACATGTGCACACGAGCATATACATACACGCTTCCCCTTGCACAAAAACAGATGCAGGCTCTCTGCTCTGCTCTCCTTCTCTTGTTTAACGATGTGTCTTGGTGGTGGTTTTATCTGGTCTATATCAGAGGCCCCTTGGCAGTGGCCATAGCTTTCTCAAAGAGCAGCCTTGTGAGTGGAATGATTGTAGAACTTCTCATCCAGCCCACTTAAAGAATGCTGGTCATAATGGAGCTGGATCAGCAGTAAACTAGGCAACCAGAGACACTGCGTTGCCCTGTCACTGTGCACCCAAGGAGGCAGGAGCTGGACTGTCCCCCTTGCCATTCTAAATCCCCATCAGCTGAGCTGAGTTGAATCATACTCTTCTGCTTTGTATTCATGAGCTTCTCTGCCTCAGTCCTCCTCTAATATGGGCTTACCAAGAGGACTACAGGAGGAACCCTGGACCCAAGCCTCCAGGGACCTCACAGGACAGGCTCAGAAAGTTGCAGAACTCTTACTGTTACCATTATTGGGATGGGCTTGAGGTGCTAGAATGGAGTTTCTCTAAAGGCAAATGTTTCTGGGCTGCAGAGGGCCGCCTGGAGAGCAGCAGAAAGGGCTGCAGGGAGGTCAGGATAATTAACACGTGTGCATTTAGCAAACAACGTGGGGTTCCAGGGCTCCCAGGGAGTTCTGTAAATGATTTGTACTCTCAACAGTCAGGCAGCTGGGCCTTAGGAGGAAGACGCTCTCTTCTGACACTTGGTCTTTTTCCCACCCAGGCAGGAAGTGGATCTGGGAGCAGAGAGCATGTTTATGCAGCAAAAATTCCAGCCCTGGCTCCAGATCCTTGACTGCGGACCTGTCTGAGGAGACACTGGAGACTGAGGCAGAATCACTGACTCACTGCCAAAGGTGCCCAGAGCTCCCGCCTGGGAGCCTGAAGCTGCTGCTTTTGCCCTTTTGGGAATCACAGACCTGCTTGGTCGTAAGATGGAAAGTCTAAACCCTCTCTAGACAGACGCAAAACTTCCGCACAATCGCAGGGGTTTCAGTGGACTCACAGAGTCCTATGCAGGTCCCCCTGGTTAAGAACCTTAAAGTGTATGTACCGAGAGAAAAACGTACATGCCCTTTGGTCTGGGAATTACACTGCTAAGAACTTACCCTGCAGAGAAGGGCGTTCACGGAAGTAGATGTAAGACCAAAAACCTGGGGGAAACTCAAGACCCTTTCACTATGGAAGTAGCTAAATAAATTCCATCCCATTGACCATTGCACAACCATTCAAAATACATGGGAGACATTGTTACTTTTAGGAAAGTTAGGGTGGGCATAGACTGCCTCTGAGAGGAATCACAAAAAACAAACTGTGGTTGGCTTGGGGAGGGGGCAAGGGTGAGTGTTCTTTTTTAATTCTGTACCTGTGCTAGACAATAGAATTTTCTGCAATGATGGAAAAGTTCTCGAAAAGTGGTCGGTGCAACTGAGAAATGGCAACTCCAATTTTCTATAATTCTTGTTCATTTAAGGAGCCACACATGTAGTTGCTACCCCATTGAACTACAAACAAAGAATAGGGTATGGTTATTCCATATTTAAAAAAAAAAAAGCTCAACTCAACTCAAAGATTTTGCAAATCTATAGTATTGTGGGTTGAACTCTTCCCCCCTCCCAAAGAAATTCAAGTCCTAACCCCCAGTATCTGTGACTGTGACCTTATTTGGAAAGAAGGACTTTATAGGTCGTCAAGGTAACGTAAGTCATGTGGATGGGCTCTCATCAAGTATGACCGGTCTCCTTATAACAGTGGGAACTAGGACACAGGCACCTGCAGAGGAAAGACACAGGGAGGAGGTGTCCGCCTGCAGGTCGAGGAATGCCTGAGGCTACTGGAAACTAGAGGGGACCCGTAGGACAGAGCCTCCCTCCCAGCCCTCAGGCGGAACCATCCCTGTCAACACCTTGATTTTGGACTTCCTGCCTCCAGACCTGTGAGAGAGAAATTGCTGCTGTTTAAGCCACCCAGTTTGGGATGCTTTGTTACAGCAGCCTCAGGAAACACGTCCAGCTTTCTCGCTGTGTGCATTGACATTTCTCCTGGAAACCTGGGATGGGCATGCTTTAACTTGCCAGTTCATTTTTAAGCATGTTCCTAGGTAACTAATATTACCATTGCTTTAAACATTAGTGGTAGTGGGATTTGTGCCCCTTTTTTCTTCTTCATACTTTTTTGGTATCAGGAAGTCACAAATGTTATGGTAAGTGGAAGGGGAAGAATTGATAAAACATGAAAGGAAGTGGCTATTCCTAAGCAGGGACTTTGGGGTGCGGCCAAAAAGGCCCAGGAAGGCGGCAGGTGCCAACACCGGTGGGCCGAGGATGTGAACCAAACCTTGATGTAGCAGACGTCCCTGTCATCCAGTGTCGGTTCCAGGTGACTCACAAGGACACTCCAGAGAGTCTCAGTCTTTCTGGGGGAAGAAATAGGAGTTTAGAGATGGGGGTTCGACACCCCGTGCTCCCCTGCATTTGCTGGGTGCTATCCTGCCAGTGCCCTCGTCTCTTAGCCTGTCTCACCCATAGAACAGGATGAGTGGACTTGGGGCCAACCTCAGGAGGTTGCTGGGGGACCACCAGGGAGTGTGCTGCAGGTGCCTGGCCCCGGGTCAAGCATGCGGCCGGGGGGCGGGGGACAGCAAACGGGGAGGGGCACTGTCATTGCTGTCTAGCTCAGTTTTCTTCTTGGGATGGAGAAGTCTGAGCCAGAACCTTATCTGGGGCAACTTGTAGCTGATGTCCACCCCAATGTCCCTGGGCACTTCTGACTTGGGGGTCCCATGGAGAGGGGGCTGGGATCTTAAGAGAGCCAGCAGCCCTGGAAACACAATGGAGTCCTCAAGATCGAGAACCTCACCCTGGTCCTGCAGTTCTCCCCACTTCGAGAGGGAAGTCCCCCACCCTCACGGTTCAAAACCTTGAGTTCTTATGCTCACCCTTGACCTTGCCAGACAAGAACCAAAACAGGAATTTGGGGACCTAAAATAGTATCCTGGGGAAGAGCAAAGCCCAGCAGGACAGCTCAGGATGATGTCGACAGAGTCTCAACTTGTTCAGCAAATAGCCAGAGAAGAGGTGTCGCACACTCCGCTGACACACTCTCTGGTCCCCTTGGAGCCCTTGGCCAGCTCGGCATGGCCATCTCCCCTTTGGTTACACTTTGCTGTTAATGCCTGGCGCCTGGGACCTCCAAACATTGTTCTCCTGCAATGTTTTTACAGGAGTGGGAAAAAGAAAAAAGAAAAAAGAAAAATCCCAGCTGCTCAGCTTTGAGGGGGCCAAACTCTGCATGCATCTCATGCCCCAGGGCTTTCCAGGGGTCAGACTGAGGCTGCTGCTTCCCCCCACAGTGCCCCCCACTCACCTCCCTCCCCTTTCCTAACCTAATTTCTCCATTCTTTCACTGAGGCCTCCTGGAGCCTTTTCAGAATCAGTCCCTTTTACCCAAATCCTTGGCTCAGGTCTGCTGGGAAAAGGCAGCCTAAGTTAAAGCCCCCTTTAAGACCCTGCATTGATGTACATTCATTCACCCCCATGAACAAGCACCAGATACACAATGTCCCTACGTTCTAGAAGGTGGGGCATGGACCACCAGGCAGGAAAGTGTGCAAGACAGAAGGTGAGTGCTCTGCTGACAAACCCAGCAGCTGAGGAACACTGGCAGGGCCACCGCTCCAGACAGGGTGGTCAGGGAGGGCCGCCTCTGAGGCAGGGCGTTTGAGGAGACTTGAAAGAAGGAAGGGAGGATGTCAGGTGGGTGCCTGGGGAAGAGTGTTTCAGACAGCAGGAATGGCTCTGGGGCAGCGATGTGCTTGGCATAAAAAAAGAGTTCAGTGAGTCTGGAGAGTGATGAGCCTCGTGAAGAGCTGGGGAGGTGGGAGGAGAGGCTGGCAGGGCTGGGTCACTGTGGGCCCATTGTAGGGGGTTCGGCTCCTCCTTGAAGAGTGATGGGAGCCTTTGCAGAGTTCTGAGCAGAGCAGAGACTCTTTGGGATTTGGAGTGTCCACCTGGCTACAATGGAGAACAGATGGTGAGGAGACATGAGTGGGAGCTGCGGGGTCAGAGAGGAGCCTGCAGTGCCCATTCCATGCCAGGGCTAAGCACAGGGGGTGGTAGAAGTACTGCACTGGATCTGTTCCCAGGGCTGATGACTAGTGGGGAAGACAGATCTCAAACAACTAGCTGCAGTAGGAACACAAAAGCGATCTAAAGGGAAGGAGCGCGGTCCTGTTAGATCAAATAACAAAGCACCAGGACTACCGTGGGACAATCAGGACGTGCAGAGGAGGGTCTGACATGAAGCTTCCCATTGCTGAGGGTCCGTTTCAAAAGACATCCATCTTGAATAAGCACTGACAGCCGTATGACACAGCGACTAGCAAAACAACCCGATAAAAACTGGGCTGCTGCCACCCATAAACATCCTGGAAAGCCCTGGGTGACCTAGGTAAGTGACCGCTTCAGGGACCCTGCTTCTCCCTCCCCACACACTAATTCCTGTTCTTATGCTTTAAATTTTCCAGTAAAGGTGAGTCCACAAGCCCTGGCTGGGTGGTTCCGTTGGTTACAGTGTCGTCCCGCATACCACAAGGTTGCAGGTTTGATCCCCAGTTGGGGGCAACTGATAGATGTTTCTCTCTCACATTGATGTCTGTCTGCCTCTTTCTCTCTCTCTAAAATAAGTAAATACATAAATAAATAAAACATAAATAAATATTTAAAAAATCAATAAATATGTCCTCAGGTGAAGATTTTTTTTTAAATGGCAAGATCTTAAAAAAAAAAAAGACATGCTAGACCCTTGGCCCTAATAAAAGCACAGCAGATCCATCTCCCTCTCCCTCCTGCCCCAACCTCGCTATGTGACCCTTACGCTCTAGGACCTGTAGTAACAAGCCCTGTTCCTCAAAGCCCCCTGATGGTCTTTGCTGAAGTGCATCATGCATTCACGATAAGAACCACAAGGGCCAGTCCAGCCACAACACCAGCCCCAGGAGCAGACAATGCCCGTGAGGGCTGGCTGTGAGGAGCACAGGCCAGGCAAGTGCTCCAGGCGTCCCAAACCCATCACACCACTCAAAACAAGATAAGACCGGCACAGGAGGAGAGGACCCCTGAACTGAGATGCGGAGTCAGAGTTAACAAGTCACAAAGCCCCAGACAGAGGACTGGCATGCACAAAGGCCCTGGGGCAGGAGGGAGCCTACTACAGGACCTGCCCAGTCCAATAGCCCTAAAGAGCCCTGTGTGTACCTGACTGGGAAAGAAGGGGTCATTCCTTGGGGCCTACCTGTGTGCGGAGGGTCTGGACAGCTCCCAGCAGACACTCTTCTAGTCCCCAGTCCTGCTTCTTTGGCATCACCCCCTCGAACACAGGCCCTGAGAGCGGGTAGGCTGACTCAAGGCCAGCCCCCAGGGAGGGGCACTGCAGAAAGGCCAGGGACTCAGAGAGTCAGACGGCTTCAGGCAGGGCCCACAACTGTTCACATCAGCAAAGAAAGAGCTTCTGTATTGGCAAACCACATCCAGCAATACACTAATGAGATCATATACCATGACCAAGTGGGATTCATCCCAGGAATGCAAGGATGGTACAATATTCACAAATCAACAAATGTAATATACCACATAAACAAAAGCAAAGACAAAAATCACATGGATCATATCCATAGGTGCAGAAAAAGCATTTGATAAGGCACACCACCAATTTATGATCAAAACACTCACCAAAGCAGGAATAGAGGAAGCATTCCTCAACACAGTAAAGACCATATACAAGAGACCTACAGCCAACACCATACTCAGTGGGCAAAAACTTAGAGCTTTCCCACTAAGATCAGGAACAAGACAAGGCTGTCCACTTTCACCACTTCTATTCAATATAGTACTGGAAGTTCTAGCGACAGCGATCAGACAAGGAAAAGAAATAAAAGGCATCCAAATCGGAAAGGAGGAAACAAAACTGTCACTGTTTGCAGATGACATGATAGTGTACATAGAAAACCCTACAGACTCTGCCAAAAAACTGCCTAATTGACATAATAAATGAATTTGGCAAAATAGCGGGATAGAGTCAATATTCAGAAATCAAAGGCATTTTTGTATATCAACAATGAAATATCAGAAACAGAAATCAGGAAAAGAATCCCATTTGATATAGCAACAAGAAAAATAAAATGCCCAGGAATAAACCTAAACAAGGAGCTAAAAGACCTGTACTCAGAAAACTACACAACACTGAAGAAGGAAGTTAAGGAAGACACACACAAATGGAAACATATACTGTGTTCGTGGATGGAAGAATTAACATCATCAAAATGTCCATACTATCCAAAGCAATGTATAGATTCAATGCAATACCTATTAAAGTACCAATGGCATATTTCACAGATATAAAACAAACATTTCAAAAATGTATATGGAACCATAAACGACCCCAAATAGCCTCAGCAATCTTGAGAAAGAAGGACAAAGTAGGAGGGATCACAATTCCTGATATCAAACTATATTACAAGGCCACTGTAATCAAAACAGCCTGGTACTGGCATAAAAACTGGCACATAGACCAATGGAACAGAACAGAGAGCCCAGAAATAAACCCACGTCTCTACAGTCAATTAATATCTGACAAAGGAAGCAGCAACATAAAATGGAGCAAAAATAGCCTCTTCAACAAACGGTGTTGGGAGAGCTGGACAGCTACGTGCAAAAAAATGAAACTTGATCACCAACTTACACCATACACAAAAATAAATTCAAGGTGGATAAAAGACTTAAATATAAGTTGTGAAAAAAAAAAAGAAAGAGCATCTTTTCACTTTCTTTAGAGAGAGAATTGTGTAGACATTAATCATATGAAGCAGTGCTGTGTAGACCAGGCTTTCTCCACCATGGTGTTGTTACCCGGCTGGGCTGGATAATTCTATGCTGTGTTTGGTGGGGGGACAGTTCTGTGCACTGTAGGTTGCTGCACAGCCTTCCTGGCCTCTACCCACTAAATACCCCCCCCACACACACACCAGTATGACAACCAAGTATATCTCTAGATATTGCCAAATGTCCCCAGGGGAACAGAATCGTCCCCAGTTAGGATCGCTGGTATACACTTTAAGAGTGTGAGGCAGTACCGTGTAGAACACAGGCTCTGGAGCAAAGACTGCCTGGGTTCAATTTTTAGCTCTGCCACTTCTAAGCTGTATGACCTTGGGCAAATGACTTAACATCTCTGTGCCTTGGTGCTCCTCATCTGTCAGCTGGGAGGGGCAACCGTTCCTGCCTCATGGTGTTGCTGTGAGGGTCAGCAGGTCGGTCAGTATGCAGGACAGCGCCCTTTCTAAAGTGATGAACTCAGTGAGATAAGCCCCCGAAACCCACTCCAACAAGGAGACCGCCAGGTTGCCGCTGCTCAGTGTGCTTCCCGCCCATCTTTCCCAGTTCTGTTGCCTTTTGCCCAATGTCACTATCAAAGAATTTCCTGTTATTAAAATCCCTTGTTCATTATAGGGTTTAAAAGGTACAGGACATCTCAATAGTTTACTAAAGCAGGAACTGGCAAACTTTCTGAAAACGGTCAGAGAATAATTGTTTGACACTTTGCTAGACACAGTCTCTGTCAAAACTAAACTGCGCTTGTGAGACAGAAGCAGCAACAGACCACAGACGAACACAGGCGTGGCTGTGCACCAACACACCTTTACTTCTGGGCATGGAAACTGGAATTCCATTTTTTACATTATGAAATATTCTCCTTTTCGACCATTTGAAAATGTAAAAACCTACTCTTAACTCACAGCCCCTTGTAACATAAGCCATTTGCTCATTGGATTTTTGAGTTGGCTCCTATTTTTTGCTCTTGTATATCATAATGCAACAAACATCTTTGTGCATGGGGCATTTAAAAGTGATTAAAAGTGGTTTGCTTTCATAGGGCAGAGATCTAGAAACAGAATCACTGAGATAGGGGGTATAACTACTCCTAGGGCAGAAGAGGAACTAGAACTTGGAGCTTGCATCTATCTCCTTGGCCCCTGGGACGTGACAAGGGGGCCCCACTGCCTGCCTTCCTTGTGGGTACAGGATTGGGTCTAGGTGGGCTGTGAACTTGACGAGGCTCCTCACACCATCCCCAGTGATGAGATACAGCTGAGAGCTGGGTGGGAGAGAGGAAAATGCCAGATAAGTCATTTATTGGACCAATACCTCTTGAGCCACCAGATCTGGGCACCGAGGCAAATTCCACCATGAAGAAGACAGGCCTTTGTGGGGCTCGCACCCCGCTCCAGTGGGGCAGACACTCTGTGAACACAGAAAGTGACAAGTGCTATGAGAAACCTGAAATGGGGGACAGCACTCGGTCTGTCTTGCAGGCAGGGCCTTCTTTAGCTGGGGCATTGGAGGAGCTCTGCAGAGGTGACCTTCGAGCAGAGACTCAAAGGATGAGAAGGAGTTGGTACTCCAGACAGAGGAGACAGCAGGTGCACAGGCCCTGGGGTGGGAAAGAAGTGGCCTCTTTAGGAGCAGAGAAAGAAGGGTGGCGTGAGGGTGTGAGGGGGCCAGGATGGAGGAAGGCGGGGTGAGCAAGGGGCCAGAAGTAAAGGCAGGAGACAGGAGAGAGAGAGGTGGGCAGGGCCCCCATCAGGCAGGACAATCATGTAGACCTGGGTTATCTTAGAAGCAAGTGATGGGTTTTAAACTGATGGGGTGGGGGAATGATAGGACTTAATTGACATTTTAAAGGTCCCAGTGCCTTGGTGGGCAGGAGAGAGGATGGTGCCTCCAGCTAAGGTGAGGCAGCAGGGAAGGAGGTGGGGAGGGTGGAGCAGCCTGTCTTCACTTGCATTGTCTGAAACTACTGCTCTCCAAATGTCACCTCACCAGAGGGCTGGGGACCAGCAGACCCCAGGAGAGACCCCAATAAAGAGCTGAGGAATATGGGAGTTCCTCAGCTACCCTCAGTCTGTCACTGATACCCCCCACACATGGACATGCACACACAGACACACAGACACCCAGGGCACTCAGACACAGATACACCCCACCCTGCCTGTGTTCACTGAACATGAGCACACTTCCACAAACACCCCCACAGACACACAAATTCCCATGCACAGACTCACTCTTAAGCATGCATGTCACACTGCACACTCTCACAGATACACATGGTCAGACACACTCTCACAGGCTCACATACAGATACACAGGTGATCACGCACTCACACGGGGTCATAGACACACACACAAGCCCTCAGGCTGCACCCATACCCATGCACACCCTTTCTTGCACACACACTTACTTATACTCACCAGCTCTCTCCCCGCTGGCAGTGCCACAGACAGCTGTCACCCACCTCAGCCCAGCCTACTCCAGGCACCTGCACTGTCCTCCTGCACCGAGATCTGGAGCAGGGTGCCAAGGGATAGGCTTGTGCAGGCCACACCCTGTAGGACTGGGAGGCTGCACACCCAGCACCCACCCTCCTGCCACCTTGGCTGTTCTTCGCAGTGCTGCACCACAGCTACCCCTCCAGCACGTCCACTGCTCACCGTGCACCCCTCATGCACCAAGCACTAACACATCGGCCATCAGCCCTCACCAGCGTTACCTGTTTACAGATGGGGAAACTGAGGCTCGGAGAGGGGGAAACTGAGGCTCGGAGAGGTGAAACCAACTGCTTGGGTCTCCCAGCTGGAATGCGAGGCAGCCAGAACTGGAGCCCCGGCTGCCAGAGCCCAGGCCCAGGTCTCCATGCCGAACAGCAGCCAGCCCAGGGTGCCCACATCCCCTGTGTCAGACCCAGAAACCAGGACAGGCCAGCTGAGTGGCTGGGGACAGCTGCCCAACAGGCTCAGGACGGGTCCTGTGTCAGCAGTGCACTGGCCTTGAGTCTCACTTTCCTAAACTGTTATTAGAAATAAGTGCCCACTTCATAGGTAGTTGTGCCGCTTTCATGGGCTAGAGCCACATATCTTGAATGCTTCTCCTCCTCTCCTCCCTCCCCTCCACCCCCTACCCTGGGAGGCAGAGCAAGGCAGAGAGAAGGGCATGGTCTGTGACAGAAACTGAATTCCCAGCCACCTCACACTGCTGTTCGACCTTGGGCACATGACCTCACCTCGCTGAGCCTCAGTCTTCTCATCTGCAAAGTAGGCATGACTGTCCGGCATCTCCTCACTCAGTTGGCAGTAGCTGGTATGATGGTGGTCTGCAGAGCAGGAGTCCCCACCAGCCCATGTGATGCCCCAGCTCTCTGCACCCTCCCTAGGGGGAGGCCCCCCCTCCCCCTCCTGCAGCTCCTGGGCTTGACATAACCGTTCATGGAGAAAAGTCAGCCACCCCCCATACCAGGGCACTGATGGTGGCCAAGGTGTTCAGGATCAGCCAGGCTGGAAGGCGAGACGCAGTGGGAAAGGTGAGCTCCTCCATGTACAGGTTCAGTGCCCCTGCACTCAAAGAACCACCATAACAGAGCACTGAGAGCCCCTGCCAAGGGTCAGGCGTGCACCAAACTCTGAGCACACATGACCTCTTGACCCTCACATGCCACTCAGAGGGGACATTATCCTTCCTCCCAGTTTCTAGATGAGAAAACTAAGCCCATGAACAGACAAAATAACCTGGCTGCACCCACACAGCTAAAAACAGGCACAGCTGGGGTTTGAACCCAGACAGTCTACTTCAGGAAAAGGTCAGAAGTCAGGAATCCAGGATTAGTCAGGTAAGGAGGAGTGCAGGCCCTGCCCTTTGTACACAGCACTTACTACGCACCAGGTACATTCTAAACACTTTGTTGCATTTTTACTGTGTTAAGTCATTTGATTCAAGAGCTCTATGAAGTAGGTATTATATTACTATGATATCATCCCTGTGTTGAAATCGAGGCCACAATAAGTTAAACATGCCTGAGGAGGTATGTGGTAGAGCTGGGATTTGAACTTGAGCAGTCTGGCTTCAAGTTCATTGTTCTTTAGTACTTCCCCAAAGCATCAAAGGAAACACCATGGGGTCAGCAAAGAGGGGTCAAGCCCAGCCTGAGGTACATGCACGAGCTTGAGTGTGAACTCGGCCCGGTTCAGGGACTAGTGTTTCGCGTGGCTGCCCATCGCTCCACAGCTGACAAAGCTCAGCTCACACTGCAGTGCTTGCTGCTCCCCTTGCCTCTGCTGGAGAACCCAGACTGGTGACCGGGAACAGGGCTCTGGTAGCTGGGCACGGAGCCTGGACTGTGGGAGGGGGCAAGGGGAGCTGGAGAGAATGGTCAAGAGGTCCAGAACAGCACTTGCAGTGCTCAAGGCTGGCAGGCAGAGTCCACAGACGTGTTTTTGCGGCTTGCACAGTACCACCCGATGCCCAGTGCAGAGAGTGTGTGTGCATGCGCATGAGTGTGCAAGTGTTTTAAGGTTCTTTTTATTTTGGAATAAATTTATAGAAAAGTTGCAAATTTAGTACAAAGAGTTGTCAAATACCATACCCGCTGTTTCTTCCACTGTTGGCACCTTCCATTGCCTGGGTGCACGGAGAAAACTAAGAAACCAATGCTGCCACATCACTGTTAAATAAACCCCAGGCTTTACTCAGATATTACCAGGGTTCCCATTCTATCCCATGACCCAATCCAGGTACCACATGTGTTTAGTTGTCATGTCTCTTCAGCCTTGTCTGGTCTTGATAGCTCCTCAGTCTTTGTTTCCAACAGCTAAAAACTGGGATTTTATATAAAATCCAAATCTCCAGCTTCTCCAAAAAGCAAAATACTGGCCTGTCTCCTCCCGACAACAAGGGGCTGTAAATGGCCAGAGCTGAGCAGTGGCTGCTATGTTTAGCTGAGTCACATACTTCCACCATCTGCCATAGTCCCCACCACTCCCTATTGTCTCTCCAACACTGAGGTCACATATTGCTGCCATTCATCACTGTGCTTGTGCAAAATACATCTTGGTATGTGAGCAAATAACAGACCGAAGGGACTGTGAATTTTTAAAAATGTGTATACCCAGCCTACCAACCTCATTCAAATTACTTGCTGGCCCCAGATCTAGTCCAAGAGATTTTTAAGGGCAGGGACCATGTTCCAGGGCCCTTATCTCATATTTGGTGACCACCCTCAGATAAATGAGACAATGATCTCCAATAACAGCAAAAAAGTATCAACAACCTAAATGTGAGAATGCTTTTGTAAAGTGCGGTCCCACCCACACCATGGAGATTACAATGTAGGCTCACAGTGAGTTTGCAGGAAGAAAATACTCAAGTAACAACATAAAATGAAAAGGCAGGCTAAACATACACACACCCTACCACCCAGCAGTTCCACTGTTAGATGCACGCCCAACAGAAATGTGCAGACATTCACCAAAAAAGACTTGCGTAGGAGTGTTCACAGCACTGTCCATGCCAGGAAATGGAAACTCCTCAAATGTCCATCAAAAGAAGAATGGAAAAAGAAAATGCGATAGGGAACATGTCACAGCAAGGAGAATGAGCCAACTGTGAATACACACAGCAACAGGGATGGGTCTCAGAAAGACACATTTCAAGCAAAAGTGGCCAGAAACAAAAAGGAGGGCATGAGCACTCATTACTCACCATCACTGACAGGTGGAAACAACCTGAATGTCCGTGGACAGATAAAGGGATAAACAAGATGTTGTTTACCTGTACACATCATTCAGTCTTAAAAAGGAATGAGGGGGCCCTGGCCTGAGGGCTCAATTGGCTGGAGCATCGTCCTGATACTCCGAAGTTATGGATTGAATCCCTGGTCAGGGCACATACAAGAATCGACCAGTGAACATATAAATAAGTGGAACAACAAATCAATGTCTCTCCCTCTCTCTCTCTCCACCCCCCCCCCCCCCCGCTACCCCTTATCTCTTTCTAAAATCAATGAATAAAAAATGTTTTAAAATAATGAAGAGACTTCTGGTCAAGGTGGTCACATGGAGTCTGGAGAAGGATGGAGACACAGAACAGTCAGGTCCCACACCCACGGTGTGGCGGTTAAGAATCAGGAGGGATTTCTCAGCTGCAGAGGTACCCGCTGAAGTAGCAAGGGATCTGATTCCTGCGCTGGCCTCCGCACCTGAGGGCACCAGTGCCAGAAGGGGAAGTCCCTACATCTGGCTCTGAAAACCAGCAGGGATGACATCTGAGTGAGACAGAGGGCTGCTGCAGAGCTAAGTGCTGCAGGTCTTAAAGGGCCCACACACAGACTCACTTGCTCTGAGTTGCACTGCCAGGGAAGCAGCTCAAAAAGTATCAGGGGCAGTCCTAGTACTGGAATGGCTTATACCAGTGAGCCATATTTTATGGCTCAGTTGGTTGAAGCATCGTCCCATAAACCGAAAGGTCATGGGTTTGATTCCCAGTCAGGGCATACACCTAGGTTGTGGGTTTGATCCCTGGTAGGGGCATGTATAAGAGGCAGCCAATCAGTGTTCCTCTGTCACTTTGATGTCTGTTTCTCTCTCTCTCTCCTTTCCTCCCTCCCTCCCTTCCTCTCTAAAATCAATAAGCATGTCCTTAGGGGGAGATTTTTAAAAAGTTCCAGGAACATATGGAGAGGAATATAATTGACAAGCTTCAGGGTGCAGGCTGGAGGGGCACAAGTCAAGACACCTCTCTCCAAGGTCAGAAGTGCTGGCAGCCACCACTGTTCCTTTGTTGAGCCCTCCCCATACCTACCTGCCAGGTGCTGGCAGGGGCTAAATCTGAGCTCTCCATTAACCTGCCTAACACTGTTTGCCTAGCCATGGTGACTGCCTGAGACCCTGCCCCACCCATCTTGCATGTCCAGCCTGAGTCTCTCCTAGCCACTTCTCCATACAAGTGGCTTGTCTCAGCCTGCACTGTGGACTTTCTTCAAATCTCAAAGGTCTACAAACCCCAAACCAGCAGCAGCTGGCCTCAGTGTGACCTGTACCTCTTGACGAGCAGCCCCAAACACAGTGTAAGTGGTGGCTGGTCTCAGCTTGCACTGTAACTCCCATTGAGTGGCTCCAAGCCTCGCAGAAGCTGCTTGGAAAATGGCTCCAACTAAGTGGCCATGAGACCAGCACAAGTGGCAGCTGGCCCCAATTCACATTGTGGTGTCCACCGAAGGATTCCAAGCTGGCATTAGTAGCTGTGTAACCTCTCCCAAGTACCTCCAAGCCCAGCTCGAGGAGCAACCAACTTCAGATAAGGAAGCTTGGCACAAATGGCAGCTGACCTTGGCCTGCACCGGAGCCCCTCCTAAGAGGCTCCAGAACCAATACACCCAGTGGCTGACTTCATACCACACCAGGGCCACTACACATGCAATTCCACAAAACAACACACCTGAAGAACTGACCCAGCTGAAACCAAAGCCCCACTAAAGTGACCCCCTCTCCACGGGTTCAGCC